GAGCAGATTTTGAATTAGACGATGAGCTTCTAAATAATAAAGTACTAAGACCTGATGTTAATATAATTATTAAGAAGTTGCAATCAACTTTTTGTAAATCAATCGTTTTTTTGAAACTGTCCTGATACTGTGTACGGCAGTAAACTGGCGTCACATAAAGACCCGTGCTGTCAATTAACGCTTCGGCTCCCTGCAAGCGCCTTAGCTTTCCTTCCGATTCTTTTTATCGCGTTTCTTCTGTATTCGCTGAAACGTTGGCTTTGGCTGAATAGTGAGTTATCAAATGCGCAGGAACTTTCATCTAAAATGTGGATTTCACATCGAAGCCGGTATCTTTAAGCATTCTGTATATCAGTACATAGTAATGTTGTTGAAGCTTAATAAGGAAGGTTCCCTTACCGTACATTTTTGACCATTTTCACAATTTGTGGTACTAACTTGTTGGACTAGTGAGAAGCTGACGTAAGCCAGACATCTGCAGTCCTAACCCTCCATACTTCACCGGCAGTCGAACCCTACCAAATAGTTGAATCAACTATCATTTCTGTCGAATGATTAAATATCATGGTTTACTCTGCCACCAGTGCTCTGTGTTTTGGACATTTCCGGAATAGCCTTCTTGTTTTGTCTGTTCTCATTATAACTTCACATATTTAAGCCTTAATACTCTAGTCGGTGCCAGCAGTAGGTCACACTATAACAAACAAATTTCAACTATGCAACTTCGATGATTTTCGAAAAATGGATAATCGACATACAGGCAAATGACCAAAGCTAGCAAATGAGAACAAATGGACGAGAGCTACGCAAGAAGTCGATATAAACAGAGACACAATTAGAACGTGCGAGGCGCACTAGTTCAGTAGGACGATGATGGTATTGGTTGAGCTGATTATGATCGCGTTGACGAACCCGCTCAACTAGACCTCACCGAAGATAGGGACGACGTAACAGAAAAAGATCGTTCGTCTGTGCTATTATCGAGGACAACTAGTGCCCAACTAGCAAAATTGTCTTATGCTTTTCTTTATTCTTCTACCGATATTTTACAGTTTTCGCTTTTGAACGTTTTGGCTGGACTGTCTCGTCCATTGCATATAGTCCAGTGTTGCAGGCCACCCCTGCTCCACGAGGAGCGCGAACGATCATATATCGACACTTGCAAACAAACATCTACACACAGAGAGGCATTACGACCCGACCCTCGAAGCGACCGATCGGCCAGCGGTTCATAATCGTTGTGGTCGCAACGTTAACTCAACGGGTTAACGCATGAAAAAGGGTGCGCTGATTGCGATACGTGAGGTGCGCTCAACTGGGCCGCTTCGCTCGTCGTGAACAAGGGGAAGACGGCACCCCTGCTTCCGTCGGCATTTGTCTCTTCATCGTTCTCGCCAAAGGCTCACAACGCTGCTGTTTAAGACGAGAAAAAATTCAGATGCTGCTGCTCCAGCTGGCGACTGTCTCTTTGACTCTTCGAGCTACGGCCGAGGCAGCGACCGTGGCAACTCTTACCTCGGCTGCTAATGTAGCTAAGAAAGGAGAGTGAAGATGGCTATAGTGGTGTCGAAAAATGAACGAACGGCAAAAATTGCCAAGAGCCGACGAAAAAGAAATACTTGCGGTCAAAAGGTGAACCATCAACTAAACGAAGGCAAGGGGGGGAATAGAGCCTGAAGGGAGAGACGGCCCCAGTTGCGAACGAACAGTCAGCGACCACCATGTTGTTATAATAGCATGTGCTGCCTGTAGGGACCAGTTAGTGCCACGAGACGCAAGTCATTGAGATCGTGAACGTCTGATACATCGCTCATGATACGAGAAGTCACGCCGGAAAAGTGGTTAACAGTTTTTGAACAATCGATGAACAGTTATAAATCACAAGGCGGATGTAAAGAGCAAACCCGTTTCTGTAAATATGAAGGAAGGGAGAATGTTGTTACTTAGCATTAGACCCATGTAATCGAATTGCCTTAACCCAATAAATTTTACTTTGTCCGTTATTTTATTATTCTATAAGTGGTAAACGGTTCAAAGCGTCCCGTTTACAGGAGAATTTCCATCATATCAGTGACTGCGGTATACTGGAGTACGTATGGTTTAAGTTGCATATATCTCAACGTGGAAATACGTAGTTCAATATAAATGTAGAAACCTGATGAAACCCGTCTGTATATATGTAGAAATATGAAATGCAAAAAACACACGAAACTAAGTAAATAGAAAAAAGCACCGTTAGTTTGCTTGCTTGTGTACATTCAGCGTAGGGGCAGAAGAACTAAAAGGTAATACTTGAGTTCGTGAAAACTTGTCTCAAGCTTATACTTCATTGTGGCTGGGATTACTTTTTATATCATGTACTTCTTCCTACTGTTGTCACAATTTTCCATGAATTGTCTCTATTGTGTCGGCATTTTATCTTGAAACAGTGTGCCCAACGAAATCAGAACACAAACTAAATATCCAGAAATCCATAGCGAAGCTTATCTCAAGTCTTCACCAAGGTATTAGATGTACTTCGTTTTCAAAAACTCTCGTAACCAAATGAGTGCGTAGCATTGCCTTATATAATACCTATAAGTATACATGGTGTTAAGACAAAAATGAAGTTCATAAATCAATCGTTCCGTCTAAATCACGATGGGTATGGCCTTAGACCAAAATGCATTTCTACAGGGTTTAGTCCTATTTTTACACTGGCTCCATACATTCCAACAAAATCTAAACATTCATTAAAATCGAGCGGAATTGGAGTAACACGATAATGGGACCCCTTTATCGGGGGGCTTTTTTTTATTTACCAATTCGTGATTACCATTGACACAGTAGAACTCATCTGACCACTTCATTGAAAAATGCTTTAAGAAGCTATAAGCATGTCTTTAATTAGAAGCACTCAACCTCGGTTCACACCCATATACGGCGATACCAGAAAAATGATAGCTCAATTAGCAATATATGCGGATAGATAGCCTCCGATGATTATGTGCTGCCACCTATCCAACTTACCACAACTGTGGCGCATCGTGAAGCCGTTTAAAACTTTCGAGTTACGGTTCGACTAGTTAGCACTATTTCGTTGGTTCATTCGTCTGGCAAAGCCGCAAACAGTGTCGCTGTCAGTCTGCCCCCGAAATCGACCATGTACCTTCGTTACCTGTAATTTTTTCAAATTGATTTTTCTTCCGACCATGACACGACTGAGGCGATGGCGGTCAACGAAACACTGAAAAGGTATTTATTATTTATGTATTGCTATTCTTTTAGTTGTTTCCTCTTTTCTATTATATTTTGGCGGGCCAGCAAATAAGACAAACGAGGTGTGCACAAAGCACTTTAATAAACCTCATCCGATGTTTTGTGGACGTCAACAAACGGTTCGAACGATAACAGCGGAATTGCTCAAGAGGACTGCCGTCATTGTTGCTTTATCCTGTACATATCTATGCTTCGTAGTTTCACGTTATCGATTCAGCTGCTGATTTGAACGGTGATTGTTTACCTGCTTCTAGAATCATACTTATTCCTCTTTTTTGTCTGTCTCCGCCATGATGATTTCAAGAAGAATTCAACATATATCGTTGCAGAAGCATGACTAGTATGCCTATCTTGATTCTCATGCCCAAATCATTTTCACCTCTGCTTTTTGGCGTTGTTTTTTTTTTTATCTAGGATTGCCAGATAGTTAATCGACCCTTCAACACAGACAAGCATTTCTTTATATGTATTTTAAATATCTGGTTTTATTTAACATATGCAAATGGTCAGCTTAGTGGATCCTTAGGTGGCTTGTCGCAAGAGACGCTGACCAGAGATTCCCAAAGTAGAATTAAATTTCTTTTTTTTTTTATCAATTTGTCAAATTGAATACCTACAGGTCGGTTTTCTTTATCGAAAGGTTGCAACATGTCCTTATTAAACTCATACTTACACAGCTACGAAATATTTGAGACAGCGCATGTTTTTTCAATAAAAGAAATTTCAGGGCTCTGTGGAAGTATTTTTTTTTTTGAAAAACCTAAATCTATTTGCTCAGCAGTTAAACGGGGACGGCTTGAGTTTTCACACATGCTTCGTATAGATTTAGTTGAAAAACTTTGATTTGAAATGATTTGTTTTTTTTCACTTCTATCCAAACAGAGGGAAGGTGAAGAATGGTTTGCGGGTTGAATATAGTTGTTATCTTATGTCTGGGTTTTCAATAAGAGGTAGAGCAGTGCATTCCACGTCCAGGACAAAGCGCAGATAACATGGGCCTAGTGGAGGGTTGATCTTGTTTTCGGAGAGACTATAATTCATTTTCATTTATTTCATTAACCCCTCAATACGTCCCCTCAAATCAACCTGGATCTTCGACGTACTAATGCACGTACTCGGCTAGCCGCTGGTCAAATGCTAGAGCGATTCGAATATATGTTGATCCGCTAAAATTAGACAATTAGCTGACTCCTGGCTATCGTCAACCCAAAAAAAGCAGAAACCCTGGAACATTAGTACGTTACAGTTGAACTTCTGCGTGGTTCCATTCAAATCGCTTAGCTAGTACGATATATTTTCCTGGCGAGATAATGTAAGAATTAGTATAGCCAAGTTGTCTTATGAAAGTCTAGTCGCCATGTTAGTCATCGTTTTCTGTTGTCTACCTCGTGTATTTCTGTTACTAACATGTATCTTCCAGTGATTTTAGTATATGCTGTGTAATTAACAGTATTCTGTTAATTTATGGATACTGGAGTTGATGTGCATGATCGAATTTATAGCATAGCCACAATGCCATCCTATTTCACGTTTAAGATTTTTCCGTTAACAACGTAATGCTTAATATAGGACGTATTTAAAATTTAGCGCCGTCAGACTGACAACTTCAATTGAGATATAGAATCGATCGGAAAGTACAGAGATCATATCTCGGGAATAATCACGTTACTTAGTCTAAATCGAAAGTAGAATGTGCGTCACTAACCTACCAACGGATTAAATGTCAATGTTTTTCTATTTAGCCTGCCAATGCTGCTGGAGACATGCGCTAGCAGTTCTGCATCAAGTGGACTGCTTGGCGGGGCCGTCATGTCGTCGGTACCTCCATCATCGGCGCTTTCCTCTGTCACCATTAACGGAAATTACCTGCATGCAAACGGGGCGGCAGCTTCTGCCCTCACTAAACCCAACGTGAGTACGAGCAGACGGAGCCACTTCAATGACCTCACGGAATAGTTTGAATATGTTCAAATCAGCTTGAGCAAACAATCTCAAGCTCGTAGAAGACCTACAAGTTTTCCCTTCAAAGTAGGTGTTCTCTCCTACGAACTTTTTCAGCATTGGACGACTGTACTGAACAGTGAACTAGATAGATAATAGTTCCGGTTCAGGTTTGTTGTTAGGTTTACGGGCTAGTTAAACTATTCGATATTGAGACTCAGCAGAATACACAAGGAAGCGAGCATAAGGTTTGTACGCACTAAGCAGATATAAATATTAAATTCGGAAAAGATCTATTTATGAATAAATGTATCGCTTCGTTCAGTCTCGTTTTTAAGTAAACTAGCCGTTGTTTCTCGGGTACTGATTCATAAACGTTTGAAATACCTGTTTTATTGGTTTCCTAATAAGAACGCGCTGAAGATTTCGTTTAGCAGACTTATTGGTAGAGGAAAGCAGTTTACTAAACTAGAGCTACCTCTTTTTTCTTTTTTTTTTCTAAACTACTCGGCGGAAAAACAAGATTCTTGTTTTCATTCTAAATCAAATAAAATGATCCTAAAATGACACGATGATGTTAACCATTATGTAAAAAATTGTCGTGACTTGCAATTTTCAGTTGGTCACCGTTGTTAAGGTGGGCAGCCCCCCTGCATGGGGTGAGGATGCCCGCTCGTTGACATCATTTCAAACGTTTCCTCGGGCTCACTCGCGAACAACATCGTCCTCTGAATCTCCGGATGCTATTTCAGGTGGCGTTCCGCTGGCGCCTTTAAACCCTTTGTCCGGACCCGACACATCACAGGGCTCAACTACTACTTCATGTAGTACCTCTACCGACAGCTCATCTATACTTACTGTGCTTATTCCTCTGGGAGCAGGAGACCGACGATTCGGTTTCAGTGTAATCGGTGGTGTTGATGAACGATTCGCACCGAAAATCGAGGCAATAAACGCAGGTTTGTACTCATCAGGTTTACAGATAAATGTCTGATGTGCAGAAGAAGTTTACTCACTCTGAGATGTATACATTTTCAATTATAGATCAGGGCTGATCTCTTAGAATTGATGTGTTCGTCACATCTCTATACGGTCGTGATTGTGCTGAGCGCTCAATCAAATAAAATCCGCTGCGTCTGGGTTATTTGGGTTAGAGAAGTAATGATTTATTAATATCAACGATTATTTTATCCACGCAAGCGAAATTAAATATTATAATATTGCACGTTTGTCCTTGGTGAACCTCAAGAAAAAACCTGCGGAAACGCGGCCCTCTAGCTCCCTACGACAACTTCCCGGAAGGGTTTGGCAAGATTACGGATGCAAAGATATCTCTGATATCAAAGACACCTTAGATAGGCATAGACACTAGTTTCGGAACAATGTGAAGCAAAAATAACTATGTATGCGGAGTTTTCTAAGAGACAAAAAGCTTCTGTGTAAAGGATCTGCTTGGTCATCCTTTCTTTTCGTACATGCTATACCCGAGTTCCCATTCAGCCAGGTTACCAGTTGAAGAAACCCGTATTTGCGATTCAGCTGACAGTTGTCAATTTGTGACTATTTTAATGTAATCACGTTGCCTAAGTGCCCTGATCCCATTGCTGCCACTCTTCTACCAACTTACACAGTTGCGTAGAGGTAACTTGATGTAATAGCTAGTAATAGATTAGCTAATGACATTAAACAAATAAAAAGAAAAGAAAAAAAATTATGGATGAGTCAACAATTGATACAGATAAATAAAAGCAACTGCATATATGCAGATATAGGAACATAAAATTTACAAAAATGTCATTAATTCGTGATATATAATTATAGTGGTAATTTCACTGGATGTTTCATTTTTATTGGCTCTTCTAAGAGGCTTAGAAGACCCTCCTCTTTTAGCTTTTTTTTTATTTTATTCTATTTAGCCTAAGTATTTTGTTGAATGAACAAATACCATTGGCCAACATTGTGAAACCCTTCATTCGTTTACGCCTGTCAAAATGTATTCCTCTAAATGTAGAAGATAAGATAGATTTCCTAACCTATAACGATAATCGTTTCTCAAAATAGTAATTCCCTAAGGTGTTTCTGAAACTTTCTTAAACTAGTTCAAAGCTAATTGCTATACACTGTAAAGCTATTTTAATATAGATAAAATTTTAGATGGACGGCCCAGTTTAGCTAATTAGGTAAACGTAATAGAAAAGCAAAGATTTTAGCGCTACATAATTACCGCATACTCGAATTATTTCTCCGCTCAGTAACTCCTTTTGCCGTGAAACGCTTATTTTATGGGCGGGTAAATTGAGCTGGACTGCGTCCAGAACGTTCGTTGACGACATCTTTGTCTCATCGGTTTCACACGTGGCAAATGTACAATTGACTGTCGCTGAGGCATCCGTATTCAGTAAGCATTGTTCCCTTCGGGTAGGACTAAGTATGTTGCAGACAAATACCTCATACCATTTTGCGTAGGGCTTTTAGTTCTGGAAATGATTCACTCTTTCCTAATACAATTGGATCTACTGCTTTTTTATTGGGTCTTCATAGCCCCGAGTGCTTCTGGACTTTCAAATAATTCTATATATATATATACATAGAATCGGTCATACTTGTTTTCCCGTTAAGAGATTTGTTACTCAGGAAGTGTTTCTGGATCAATTGAAAAGGACCGTCGGCGGTCAAACAGGATCCGAAAACAAGTATTTTGAAAAGGAAGAAAAAATCCCAGCAGCACTTTTCAAGACTCAAATAGAAGCTTTTTTGATCATTAGACTGAAAAAGCATCAAGAATATATAATATAATCGCTTTCCTCAGGTTGTTGATTGAGAACAGTCTATGAAAGGTAATTGAAGACAGCCGATGACTTTGATTCATCCTTTCCAAATGGTAGTACTTGTCCCTTCGTTCGGCGCAGAACGCTTGATCCGTGCCAGTACTTTCGCTGATGTACTTTTTGTAGGGAGCATAGGAAAAGTAAGACATTGGAATCAAGGCTAATTTCACTAGTCCCCTCAATGCTGTTCCGTTGAAAGTGCTTATGCACATTTTACTCCTGCCTGAAGAAGTCGATACTTTTCAGTTGTGCGCCGCAGTTTCTGAGCATAACCAGAAGAGTTACTTAATTTCATCTAGGCTTACTGTCTTGTGCTAGTTCTTTATGGCCTTGCTTACGCTGTCAGTTCGTAATTTACCTAGACAGTCTGAAAAAAATACTATGGTTATACTTCTCAATGAGCACCTGGCTTGATCGGCCGGCAGAGTACAAATCTAGCTGTTTGTAGCAGGTTTAATTAGAGCACAGACGGTTTGGAGGGAGGCTAGGTGTAAATTTTCACATGGAGATTCTTCAGTACACTGATTATAGACAACGACGTCTACATATGGCGAAGATTATATTTCGCAGATAGAAAAATGAAGAGTGTCTGTATCGGAGGGCCATTGCCGGGTACGCGAAACCTAAGAAAAGTGTTTTAGGGCCTTACTCTGTCCGCCTTTACTCTTGTGGCTTCTTGAAGTTTCTTGAGGCAGAAAACGAAGCAAGATAATAGTAAAATGTGCAGTGGTATCGATATACGAAAGGTTGTTTTGCTACTTCAGGTGCACATAAACTAACGATAACAGGTATGTGCATTACCACCGCTTAATAGTTGCTGAACCTGAAAGCTAAACATGTTACGCTGAAACTTTCAGGATCGCCGGCAGATCGTGCAGACGTCCAGGTTGGCGACGAGATTTTGGAGGTTAACGGACGTTCTCTGGCGCAGTGCACTCACACCGAAGTGATCTCGCATATTCACCAATGTATTCGCGCCCGATGTATACAGCTGAGACTGCAAAGGCGTACAGTGGCAACTAATGGATCCAGTGGAGGAGCTGTAAGAGACTCTTCAGCATCACTGCATAATAAGAACGGCACAAATTCAAGCAATACTTACGCCCTACCCTCGCCACCTCCATTACCCAATCATCCAACAAGTACTTCTGGCAAAGAAGATTCCAACTCGGTTTCTCAAAAGGTTGGCTATTTCTCCATTGTTCTCGTACTGCGTAGGTAATGCTGAGCTGTCATTCGATGTATTTTTCGCTGATAAATATAAAGGCAATAAAGAGGATCCATCAAACGATCCTGTATAGCCTGATCTCATCCTTAAAATAGGAACGCATACGGGCGAAATGGAATGCGAATGCATACGTAATTAGAAGTCACTGCATAATTGGCAAAAAGTACAGCTGGTTGCAATTCGAAAGGAGTTGTCTGTCTGGAGTGACATTTTGTGATCCATCTCTCGACGTTATCGAACTACGTTAGCCGCTTGTCGGCCGGAAAAAGGTAGAGCAGGTATTCCAAATGTGGAAAACGCCAAAAGCTGGAGAAAATCTGTCGTGGCAGGTTATTTCCGGCCAAGCTGAAAGTTGGTAAATCGCACCTTGTTGTCGGACTCAACCTTGTACGAGAACGATTTTCGTTTCTTTGTACAGTCATAAGTCATTTGTCTATGCTATGCAATAGTTAATCTCATTGATTCAAGGACTCAAAATAGAATCATCATAATAGAGATCGGACATGTGTAAACACAGTGACTAAAGTTTCGTCGAAGTTCTCACGTAATTTAGAGTACAGTGTGATCGCCCTAATAGTCCATGTTTATGCTGAATGACTGAGCTACTAAGACGTAGATCTTCATTTGAGAACTTCTAGCTTAAACGGGAATTAAAAAAAAAGCACATCGAGATTGCTGAATAACTAACTATATTGTCACTGTTTTATCTCAACAAGTCGTTCCTCATGAATTGCGCTTTTCTAAGATGACATATTAGCTTCTACAGTTTTATAAACCTAGCAATTAGTTAATAGGGCAGATCCTAAAGCGATTTTTCGACGCGCCCTTCTCTTTCATCAGCTGTTTTTCTTTACTACTCTGGATAGGCATGCAGGGAAGTAGCCCAAACATCAAATTATCCAAGTAAATGGAACAAACTATGTGTCTGTAACGAATGAAATCGTTTAGGGCAAGGTTTGATGTATACTATGGTCATCTCTCCCGTCGCCTTTGGTCGAGTCGATTCGCATCTTTCTACATCATACTACTGATTTTCGAACCGGTACATATACCCATTTATTCGTTTCGATTCACTGTATCTTCAGCAGCAGAAGTTCGACATCGCCCTTCTGTCGAAATCGACAACAATGCTGATACCGATGTCAGTGATGATGATGATGATGTATGTATGTATGTATGTATGTTAGCGCATCTGTGCCTGTTTTTAGTGTACTGGGCGATCCGTCCGCGTCCATATGTGACCATATGCAATGCATAGTTGGCCTACTTCGACCATTCCGTTGACCCGTCGTATTGGTCATTTCCGCTCTTAGCCAACAAGTGTTTTTCTAACAACTCAGCAGGCCGACGTGCGCTGCAGCGACAGCGTTATCAGCGGTGCCACCGTGACGAGGACAACGATGACAAAGCGACGTGGCAGTTTTTGTGACCGCATCGCTTCGGTCCGTCCGTAGAGATATTACCGCGTCCCCAGCAACCTCTTGAAAATTTTCAATTGTTAAGACATACCTTGTATTTCATCGACGTTTAACTGTACAGCCCAACGACCCTACGATTTGGTGGAACGGTACGCTCACATTGACCACACTTTTACGTAAAGAATATACAGGTGAACATATGAGCATAACAGCAAATAGATAGGCTAATACGAGGTCACTCCCTTACCAATTGCTTTTCTTGAATTTTTTCTTGAATAAAGCTAGTTATAGGCTGACATATAATGCTTTGTCATCACTTACCGCTATCGATGTTTTAACATTGACATGTATGAGCGTGTCGCTTTTGACTCTATTTTGTTATTGTGGACGGAGTGATGGGAAGACGTTGTGAGGGCTGAGTGATTTTTCTCTGTAATCTTACATCTGCGCATACGATAGCGATGTTCTCAAAACAGGAATGTTCGATCGTGTAGTTGGTATCAGTGCGGTACTGGAATGAATGTGCTCGCGCTGATAGTGATAACGACCGGTCGGTCTATATGACCTGAAATTGACTTACCAGATAGGACATCTTCAATTACACTTAATTGAAGATGTCCTATCTTGTAACGTTCGAATAATTGTCTACATGCGAGAAATATATATGAGTGGGCGGGAAAGCACATGACTTCAATAATATAACCTGTAGACACTTCTTGCGTCAACCGTAGTTTGTTACAAAGTAAACTCGTTTGATAATAAAACATACCTATTTAAAATAGCCGATAAATATAAAAACATCGACGTTATCATGAAAATTTCTCTTGTGACAGTTGATTCACTTTATTCGTAATGACGTAACCTCCCGTCATGCACGAATCATTTCTATCTGTTAGTACATTTATATAACACTTGAACTACGTTTTTTAGATCATTGCCTGAAGTTGTTAAGGTTGTTGACTACGATCGGGTTGCTACGATCTACCGAGCACATATAGTACGTTACGTTATTTAGAATCATTGTGAACTCGAACCTGCTAAAACTGCTCAACTATAAATCGACAGAAGGTGACTCATCAGCTTCAAACGTTGAATCATCGCGAATACAGATCATTACAGCTGTGGAGTGTTCTACGTTTTTGGCTAAGTGTTACTTTTGTCTATTTTGTTGTTAAACGAGTCCCTTGTTCTGGTACCTCTTTGATTTCAGTAACTGGTATTTGTGTGTATTCGGTAATATTTGACGTATTTGCATGATATGCGTGAACTTCCCTAGGGCTTCAACGGCGTCTGTCGGACTGGGAGAGGAGAGGGGGGAGGGGGAAAGAATCAATTTAAAGACTTAAAAATAGATGCACACGTACTGGCGGACGACAGCAAGCCGATGTCGTTTTCACAGCTATTCTCGCCAGTAGTCTCTTCATTAGTAGGGCTGTTGTATGTCCACACACGTCTGTAGAGCGTGAATTGCATTCGTTGCTTTTGATCACTGAATAGCCATAGTCAATGATGACTGTCACTTGTAAGGCTAGCAATGACGGCAACGGCAGCGGAACACAATATAATTAAGCACGAAACCAACTCAAAACACCGCTACCAGGCCCTGTAATTAGGACAGCAACAAGCAGCATGAGTTGTAGTATCCATTTATCGGCTTTTGGCCTTATCAGTCATTTGGGGTGCGCCCTTTTCGTTGATAATGTCAGTCTATTTTAGGAGGGCTACAGCACTTCATTCCGACAGAGACCTCGCATCATGTCTGATAATGTCAATGTTGTTATTTCGGTTACCTATATACGTGCCTGCGTGCGAATGTGTATCTAAGTTTGCATATGCTCAATAAGTTTGTGGTCATAGCATCGGTGGCTTGACTCGAACAGAAGCTGTTGTTTGTGTCAATCATCGTCAACAGCAAATCGCTACTTACAAACAACGCCGAGTTCCAACTGGATAAGACAAGACATATGTAGGACACCAATAGGGCACCGCCATTATCGTCATCACAATTAGATAAATTATCGGTTCTTTTCCCATCAAGCACCGAGCGAGTAACTTGCGAATAGTCCATGTACACAGAAGAGGTCTTTGTTAACCCACAAAGACCCTGGTTTCTTATTTGCTTCTGATAATCTAAATTTTCAGCCTGCGGTTAGCATTCTTTGATGATCATGAGAACCAGAAATGATCGTTACGTTTACAATATGCTTACTGTGTATGCATAAACAATAGCGAGATGGATGTTCGTGCCACGAGACCATACATCTCATGGCGCTTTCCCTAAACGCGGAAATCGTCTGTGGCCGCCAGCGATTTACTGTGTGTCCATTTTAACAATGATTTATTTCTTGCTTCTTCTTTATGTCCCCAGACTTTCGATGATGTCCTGCCTAGTGTAGTAGACGCGCCTCCGCCTGTAGGCTTCACATCGGACGATCCGCCAGTATCTGGAGCATCGCATCAGAGCAACCCAACACATATTCCCCGCGCGTCATCGCTTCACTTTGGATCAGGCGCGGGAAGCTCTAATGGTGCTGCTCAAGTTCAGCATAACATCCAGCATAGCATTGACGACAACTGCGCAGTCCCACTGCTAGCTCCTCTAACACCTCCAGGACCACTGCATAAAACGATTTCGGAACAAGGGCCATCATTAGCTGGTTCATTATCCATAGTGAAGTCTAATCTGCCGACTAATGCAGCAAAAGCAGGTGATTTGAAGGCAGTGATTTTCCACTACAAATTCCTTTAATGCCACGTCAAAAAGCAGCCATACTCATTCACTTTCCCCCCTTCTTCGTCTGGGTTTGTAGCAAAATAATGAACTTTGGTATGAATAATTAATTTCAGATAATTTATGTTTATGTCAGTGGCGAATAAGTCTAAACGTTCTAGCAGTCGGATGGACAGTCACATTATACATTCATGAGACACCTGAAACTTTTCTTGGACTAATATTGAAGGCGGCTTAAGGCTTACTCTGATAGCTGTAAAAAATAAGCATGATTTTTATTGCAGTTTCTCCACCCCTGGCGATACCTATCCCGTCACCACGCCGCACCTCGGAAAAGCTATTGAATCGGCCTGTACTGAACAAGGTGGATACTCCCCAGTCACCATTATATAAAAATCTGCAGAGCACACTTGAGTCACAGGGTCCACCTCGATCGCCTCTGGCCAAAAGCCTGTCTTCGCCACCTCAGTCCCCATTGAACACTGTAACCCCAGAATTTCCCCTGGGCTCGCAGCTAGTCCCGCTCAGCTTGCCACCGGCTACAAGGCCGACGCTCGAGCTTAGCTCGGGTGCCCACCGAGAGATGGCCGTGGATGTACCTGATGCATTCGTACCAATGGCGAAACAAGCACCAAGGTGGGCATTGTGTTTGGATCGTAACCCAGATGAACATATGCTAACCTACTATATACGTGCATTCAGTTCAGTTTAGTTTCTTTTCAATAGATGTATTTATATACGATGCACTTTCGCAATTATAAGAGTCAGCAATTAAAACCAAGAGACCGTAATTAATTTCATTTAACTGTATTCCCATACGTATAACTAACTCGAAACAATTTTTCGCGTGTTCTTAGATATCCTCCGATGAAATCCTCGATCGACACTTTGTCGCGAAACACCGAAGTATCGAAAGTGGACACAAAATGTCGCTCACTTAGACCAAATGGGCAGTCATCATCGGGCCCTCAGGGTTTGGCTCAAACGCCTCAGGAACAGCAGATGGAGATGTTCCTTCGTTCATCTATACGGCAATCGAAGAAGTTACGCGAGCTCGAAAAGAGCCCAGCGCCACTTCAGTCGCGAGGTGTAGTGAACAACGCTTTTGAGCCGGAACTAGGCCTCACTTCTCCGCCTCCAGTTCTACCTGTTCCGCCAGGCAATATTCCGATGGCACCCGCGGCCCCCATCGTTATAGAGCCACAGCTAACAGTTGATGTAACAAAACTCTACAATGTCAGCGCTCTCCAGACGGCATTGAATCGCGTCATTGACTATGTTGGCAAAAACGGATCGTTTGAAGAGGGTTTAGACGTCGAAAAAGTAATAAAACTTCTCGATACAGCGGAGTTCCAAGACTGTTTAGCGGTTACTAATATTATCAAACAGATTTTGTGCTCGCAGGCTTCCCCGCCGACTCCAGTTCGCTGCGATGCCCAGGAGCTATGCGCGCATATTGCCGAAAGCAGCATTAGAGACACGGCAGAAGGACAGGAATTACTAAACATCCTAGGAGATATTAACATGAGTCAATTAATCGACTGCCATGACCGTGTTTCGAAAATATTTGGCGGACCGAAAAATCCCCCGTCTGTCTACACCACACCCGTTATACAAGCACCTATAGTAAGTCTTTAGTGTGGCGTTATGTGTGTGTAGCTGTCAGAAACAAGTGACTTTTCTGGTAAACGGAGACACAGCCAAGTTTGGTGGCATCAGATGCGCTAACATATTCAGAGATCTTGGTTCATCAGATGAGATACTGTCAGTACAACAAGTAGTAGAGTTGTATGCGGACCCCGCTGAGACTGCACACTTATCATTTACCGTATGCAGTATATATGGCAGTGGGCATAAAACATCTTGTTAGACAGATATTACATATGAATTCTGTTGAACGTTCTTGCGCAGGATTATTAGATACTTACGCCTTATAAATAGATACGCCTTATTGTTTTCGGCATAATGGATAATTCATCAAATAATGCCTTCAAGTCGCTCGAGTAAAGAAGCGAATGTAAACAATTTTAATCACTGTTCCCCGCAGCACTCAACACCCTCGCGACAACCCATTGGCTCGACAAATGCTACTCCCAATTCGTCTTCGTGTGCGCCTCAACGCCGTATCATAGAGCCGCCTCCTGAACTTGCAGTACTTATTGACGAGACAGAAAATGGACACGTCATTCACATAGATAAAACGGACGACCCCCTCGGTGCCACTGTCCGTAACGAGGGAGAGTCAATTATTGTTGGCCGGATAATCAAAGGAGGGGCAGCCGAGAAGTCTGGCCTTCTCCATGAGGGCGATGAAATTGTCGCCGTGAATGGCATCGAGATGCGTGGGAAAACTGTGGGGCAGGTCAGTGATGAATTGGCTAGGATGACTGGCCAGCTAAGCTTCCTGATCATTCCTAGTGATCGTTATGCTTCACAACATCACACGCAGCTCACCAGACCGGAAAACCTGACTAGTCAACAACCCGTCATGCACATTAAGGTTAGAAAGAAACTATTTGGCATCAGAGCTCTACCAGAGTTGGTCCGTTACCTTTAAAATAGTGGGCTCAACACCTTTCATTATGAAAGTAGTAGTAATAAAATCAGGAACCGTCAGTTTGGCAACGCCAAAGACAAATAAACTTGAGGCGTTTGTTATTTTTTTTTTGACTTTTCATAAACAGTAATAGTTGGCAGCTTATTTTTGTTGCCCTGCGTGCGTTCTTATTGTCCTTGTGTTTTTTCAGGCCCATTTTGACTATGATCCTGAAGACGATATGTACATCCCTTGTCGCGAACTGGGAATCGGCTTCAAAAAAGGCGATATTCTTCACGTGATCAATATGGATGATCCGAACTGGTGGCAGGCGTACAAGGACGGCGAAGATGAATCCACCCTCGCGGGGCTTATTCCGTCAAAGAGTTTTCAGCTGCGTCGTGAAGCCATTCGCCAACAACTGATGGGCTATGCCGGTGATGAACGAGGGAGTCAACGAAAGCACCGCTTTCTCTGTACCCCTACTACTGCGAAAAAAACGGGTTCTGCCAGTTTCAATAAAGCTTCTCGTAAGAACTCGAAGGGCAAAATGTACAATGCTGCAACCCGCCCTGATCCCGAAGAGCCCATTCTTTATGAAGAGGTGGGATTATATTATCCTCGGGCTAATTGTAAGAGACCAATCGTGCTTATAGGACCCAGCAATATAGGCAAACACGAACTACGCCAGAGACTCATGGAGGACACGTCAAGATTTGCTGCAGCCATACCACGTGGGTAGCTTTTTTTAGTCTGCCCATGACATAATTTACAAAGCTGCACGCCCGGCCTACTTTCATGTGGTCTTAAGCCTTATAGGTATAGCAGCTTATATTATTGGCGAAGTAATAAGCAAATTTATTATTTTCAGACACTTCCCGCCTTCGAAAGGATAATGAAACAGATGGCGCGGATTACCATTTTATTAGCCGTGCACAATTTGAAAATGATATCCTCAATGGACGTTTTGTGGAGCATGGAGAGTACGAAAGAAATTACTATGGAACAAGCATCCGAGCTATTCGAGCCGTTGTCCTTGCGGGACAAATATGCGTGCTAAACCTGCATCCAGAATCACTCAAGGTACGACCCTAAAATGTAGCTACAAAAATGCTTCTTATCAGTCTCAACATCCAATGAACTAATCATTAAATGGTGCTTTAGCCCATCAAATTTTTTCTATATTGAACAATTCGAACATAGTCTCATTGTTAAATTGATACTCCATTCACATTATGTCACATATTAGCTGCTGTTCTCAGTTAGCTTCTAATACTACATAAGCAGAAATAGGCTAAAACTGTTTTTTTTTTCCATTTAAGATATTGAAACGGTCGGACCTTAAGCCTTACGTAATCTTCATTGCACCGCCATCTCTCGAAAAACTGCGGCAGAATAGGGTAAAAGTTGGGGCCAGCGTTAAGACAGAAGAACTCAAGGAAATTATTGAGAGAGCACGAGACATCGAGGATAGGTGAGAGAATTGTGCCGAATGCAATCTCAATCTGCTTTTTGCTATAATGTTATCAATTTCATGGGACATTTTAAATCACTGTCGGGCCGCAGGAAGGAAAAAACCAAAAAGTGAGGTTTAGACTGATATTTAAGCCATGAGCGAATCATAGTGGAAATTATATTTTTACGCTATGCATTTTTACATACACGAACACCATGCTTATATATTACACTGTATTTATATTACTATACTATACTATATATTTTACTAGCTGTACTATTTTACAGGTACGGAAGTTATTTCGATAGCGTGATCATCAACCATGAACAGGAACGGGCTTATCGAGATCTGCTTAAAGAAATCGCATTTATTGAGCGGGAACCACAATGGGTACCTAAACAATGGCTGGGGTTTGAGTAAGACTAGTCAAAAGCTCTTATGATGGACTCCAGCAAGGTATCGATTGACACTTGGTTTGAACGGAAGAAACGTCCGTTTCTAGATTAGAACTACTGGCGGGTACACTTTACACACGAGTATGTACGACATATGTCTTTAGGATGATGTCCCGCTGAAGTTACTGAGTTTAAATGGCAGGATCTAGGAAATAGGACTATAAGGACTGCAATGACAACAAAAATCACCACATTTCGTGCCTTTATAATAGTGAAGACTAAACGTATTGTCTCTGAATTCTGAACAGAAGGAGAAAAGGAAAAAATAGGACATAGAGGTCTTCTCTGAGGGCATTCAGTGCTAACTTAGAAGTATAAATCTACACTGTCGGGAAAACAAACCGAGAACGCATATCGTTTCATTACAAAAGCATTTATAATCTATGCGCCTACTAAAGTGTACTGTGATTATTTGCCAAGGTAAGTAGTCCTTTGCCTGAGGCATACTCGCCGTGGCTGAACGTCATAGTGTCAAATGCCTTGGTTTTAGTATATAAAAAAATAAATGTACGTGGTGTTTGTTTCATGTGTTGGGGAGTCACTGAATAACGCGTGATCTCATTACCAACTAATAAAAATTTAGTTTTAATTACAGAGTACTGTAAAGTTACCCGTCGCATCGCAGTGTTAGCCCGATAAGACAGTAAATTATTAGGTCGCGTGTTGGTTTCTCAGTGGCCCGCCCTTCCTAATAGCATGAGCAATTGCGACCAATCTAATATTGTATGTATTGCAACATCAATCGTATGAGACGAACGACACTGTGCCATGAAGATGAACTATTATCATTATTATTATATAGAAAAATAGAGAAATGTAATTTTGTCTTTTAAATAAAGTATAGGAGCTATCCTACAGCAGTGTATGGCCATAACGATGAAAGCACGAGCCAAAACAGGACTCTAGAGGTTAGGCAATGCGGAGAGTGATGACAAAAAGAGCAAGTCGTAGATGCATTGTTCGAAATACTATACCCAAAATAATAACATGTCAAGGCAAGGAAAATGTAACAAGAATAACGTATATCCTCGTCGATTTATCAATATAAATATCAAAACCGAGCAAAGTACATATAGGTAGGACTATATTTTGTAAAAAGATCTATATAATGTATGTTCTCAAAACGCATCAACCAAGCGCAGCATCATAGACTGTATTATTATTGCTATTATTAAGTATTGTGGCCCACACACTAGACAATCAAAATAATGGCCCTGGCAATAAGACATTCACTATTAACATAGTTTGTCACCGTAGACAAAGTAAAATACATAAAACGACAAGCGACCCGTTTGTGGTGCTTAGATACCGTTAAAAATGGTACACAGAAATACGAAGCTGATTCACGCATAGCTCTCTATGTAACTTTATTATAACCTTGTTTTTATAATAGACATACATTACGAACAGAATAAAGACGAAGAAAAGAAACAGATCAGATTATGCTTCTCATTATTCTTTATTGCCGATTAAAACGTTCGCTAAATAAAATATGTCCATACAAATTTAGGCAGTAGACATTTAGGTGACACCAGTTGACTGAAGTTGTAGATTTTTTTAAAATTAGAAATCAGATGCGACATTTTGTGTTCCATAGTTGAGGAAGATATTATTGTTGTCAATATGGTTACGATAATTACTAGGTTAAACTCGCTTCTGCCACACAGTGACGCCGTATAAGTTTTTATTATAATTTCTCAGGACTCTAACATTAGACTGTGCTAAAACTATTTTATCGACAAACGGTAATTTCCTCACTGCGCGCATCTGCTCTTTTTTTTTTTACCAATATTGACAAACAATTTATCAGCAACTTCAGTTCAGTTGAAAGGTAAGCTCATAGGGCTTTTGAGCGAACACGGCCAAAATTTACCAGTTACCCTATTTCATGCTGGCAGGCACTTACGAAAGAAAATCTGTAAGTCATAGGGCGTTTTGCCTTGCTGCTCGTAGACTGTCACCCGTTGTAACCTTATGCATTTCACATTTCCTCTATGACCCTGGGCTTGCCTCCAGTCACATCTATTGCACGAAGTACAGAGGGAAAAACAGTCTGTAACATCCACAACGTAACATGTGTGCACTTTGCAAATGCAAGTTCCTCGAGTAATGTTCTTCTGTCGAGCAAACATCAGGAGTACCCGGTACTGGGTATCGTAGTATCTTTTTTTTTTGATCACTGAAGATAGTAGCCATGTGTTTAAGAAGGAAATAGCAGTGTAGCACGGTAAGACATAGGGAAATTACACTTAACAAGCTCACATTATTATATCTATTTATTTTAGTTCAGTTATTGTTTATACTACTCTGTATGGTGTTAATCTGAAAGAACCTAATAAACAAAGGCTGGTTATATTCTGTTCCTACATATGAGCCATATGCAATTTGTTTAGGATAGACATAGGATTATGAAATTCTCAGACAATTCAGAGTGAGTTGTTTTCAAAGTTCATGTCACAAGATGAAAATGTCAAATTTGTAATGAACGAACAAACTATTTTGAACTTTCTCCATCGTTACGGTCAGCGCCACCGAATATCTAGTTTCTCATGTGAAATGCGCGCCAACTTTCAAACGGGTACCAGGACATATGCTTTTTGTTTGTAAACAAAAATATCGAATATGAAAAACTGATGTTCAACAAATTCAAAAGTAAATTCATGACAAAGTTTCTTTTAAACCAATGATGACGATGACAAAATTGTCACGATTCCTCACTGAGGTGGGTGAGGCTTGCCGACTCTGGAGTACAAACGGTGGCAAAGCCTCACTAAAAGCGAACGAAGAAGGGTGAGTGAGTATGACGCACATGCTTTATTCTAACTTCAAGCGAAACAAGTTACTATTATTATTATTATTATTACTATTAGTTATTATGTCTATAAACGAGATATACATATGTTTCATGCCATTGCTTCAATGAAGTATCTATTCAAAGAATCGCCCACAGCGCGGGTGGCAAGTTTGGTTGATAGATAATTTCGATGACAACAGTCGAACTTAACCTGTAAAGACAGTAAGATTCTCAAATTAACATAGTAATCATACAATGTTGTTGATTGATTGCAGACGCGAAAATATCATTAAGTAGCTCCTAATGTTATACCGGTACCAATATAATTATCGGTATCATGAGGGAATTAGTCGACGCCGTATCAAGCCAAAAAAGTGGAGTACATTCTGGCTGATGTTAATTCGAACACTCATTTTCATTAAATGATCATTCTGTTTTTTGACGGGAAGTAACGTCAACCAAATGATTTATGTTGTTATTGATTACTAAATTGTTTGACAGTCATCTTTGTTGACTATAATGATTTTTAGAGCAGATTGTTGTCTGTAATAAAGCCTATATATATATATATGAAAATTCATAGATTTCACAGAATACTTGTGTTGAAAAACATTATTATGAACTAGACATGCTAGACAAAGCTTTCATATCGATGTTGATGATGAATAACGTTTTGTTTTAAACAGAGCGCAGTTTTGTGAACGTTGAAATAATACATTGAGTTTCAACTTAACTGTTAGCTGTCGGTATCTTGTTAGCATGACAGGTCAACCAGTGAGGCGTTCTCGAGCTGCCATTAATTCGTTGCAGCAAAAATCGTCAATGATATCTGTACCGAAAGCGCCGAAGAAACCGCCAAATGCATACATCGCCTTCGCAGCAGCGGCACGGGAAGGGATTATACTGAAAAATCCCGGTATTTCATTTACTGATGTTGCGAAACGTCTGGGCGCGGAGTGGAAAGGTCTCAACACACGGCAACGAGAGGCAAGCGCCATAATTTTCATTTTAAATTTGACCCATTTTCAAAAATGGTGTGATATCGAGTGATTTAGATCACAGAAACATCAAGTACGGCAGAAAAGTATTAAACGCTTGAAACAGGCGGTTAGAAAAGGTTTAAACGATGTAAAGCGTAAGTGGTGTTAATTTTATAACGGCACCTCTAAACGAGCCATTACACAATGTTCGTAAGCAAAGAAATATAGAAATACCTTAGGAAAAAGAGAAGGTTAGCGGTCATTATGAGATGGAAAGGCATTGTTACGCAGTTTACTCATTCTAAGTTACGATAAGCTTGCAACGGGTAATATGGTACTGGCTACTCATAGGTGTATATGCAGGAGGCGAAAGAAGCGGCTAAGAAGTATGTAAGTGCGAGTGAAGCCTACCGCTCGAGTCTTACTCCAGAGCAAATTGAAGCCAAAACAAAGCTAGAAATCGAAGAGAAACTGAGACAGTCTAAGAGGAAATTGGCTGTATTAGAGAAACAGCTAAAAAAACCCAGCAAGCCCGGCAATGTATTTGCGTTCTTCATGAAAGAAAGCTTTAGTGGACAAATGAACGTAAGTAATGCATAAAAGTAATACATATATTTGTACAGGTGTGTAGTATATGTGTGTGTATGTGTAAAAACATGTTTTGTTAGTAATTCCTGATAAAGAACTAAAATAAATTTGGTTAAGTAAATGAAAATATAAGCAATATCTAGTTATTTTCGAAGTCCGGAGGAAGCTTAGGCCGTGTGGCATTTTTTTTTGCTGTTTAGACACACATAATCATCTTGATATTGGACTTACGCTATGTCTTAATATATGGAACATTATAGTGTCTAACTACGAAAAACAATTATTGGATTGAAAATGTTTAAAATTTTAACACGAACAGCCAGTGGAGTGGATGTCGCGTCTGTTGAACGACGTTATCAGCCAGCTTAACAAGTTAGCTCATCACATAGTTTACTTCGTAAGGATTATGGTTTCGCTTCGTACGTTTTTCAGGATAAGGAAAACCTACGAGCCGTGGCTGATCGGTGGAAAAACATATCTGATGATAAGAAACAAGTGTACATTGATAAAGCCAAAGAAGCACTAATGAGGTATAACCATGAGCTGGAACTTTGGACGAATAAGATGGAAGAATCTAAGAAATACTCGGAAAAGCTGTCCGTTCTTCAGGGTACCATTTCAGAACTCAAAGACCAGCTCCGCAACTTTAAGTAGGACTAGGAAGCAGGCCATATTTAGATGTCAATATTCAAAGTAACATTCGTTGAAAGGCAAGAGGAGCAGTGGTAACCGCAAAATCTTAAGCGGCTCCATAGAAAGGACAAGCTTCATAAAGGAAAAAATCTGATGCAAAAGTAAAATGACGGATTCGACATGGCTCTGATCTCGCAGAAAAGGCAGTAGAGTAGGTTTTATCTTTAAGTAGCGGAATCCAAATCACTTACAGAGAAATCTTTAGAGCAGATCCAATGCTAATACTGGTGCTTTAAAAAGATCAGATCGTGACTCCGGCCCTGGTGAATACCATCGCAAGTCATTTCTGTTCCGAAATTCACATGCCATTTAGCCTCATGTCAAGTAGTCCTATGGAACACCAACTGAAGTTAGGCAACTTCGAACTTCACACTAACAGTATAATATTTTTGTTTTCTCGTTTTTCAAATAGATCTGTGGATGTTCACGTATATATTCAAAATCAAAATAAAGAAAAAATAGAAAGGCATAACAAGGATTTTTAAAGAGCAATAAATCTTGCTTAAAATACAACTAGCTCATTAAGGGTTTAATGTCCATAAAAGGCTCCGACATTCTGTAAGATAGTTGTTTTACTTTCTTCTTTTTATCTATTATAAAACGTACGTCATCATCTATATGTATTTGCAAAAACAAATGAAGCAAAAATATTGTACAGAAATTCACCACCAATAAAGCATAAGTCATATAACTTAACTTTATATAAATAAAGTTAACGTTAAATATAAATAAAGTTAACGTTAACTTTATTTAAGTTAACGTTAACTTTATTTAAGTTTATTAAGACGATAATAATAATGCGTTCAATGAATACCTTGTTCTAAAACTTAGACTAGGTTGTAAACTCTGAGCCTTGAGTCGGTTATGCATTAGGTAATTTAGAACACGATCGTGGCCTTGTCCTTTCTAAAGTGACTTAGAGAAGTGGTCCAGTGTTTACGGTCCATAGCTTTCCACTGTGCCCCGTCGAAGAGGACATCATAGTTGCATTTATAGAATTGGTAGCTGTATTGCATGCGTATTTTCTGCGTAGATTCTGTTTCGCGGATCGAATTAAAGTACGAATTTGTATTAGGCACAGTTTTATATTCCCATTTTAAATGATAATAATAGTAATATAAATACAGACGCATCCGCTTCACTAATTGTTACTAGTAAGGCTCTTGTGGCCCCCAAGGAACAAGAGCGATAGCACGCATACCAAAGATATCGTATCTTAATCATTATGATGGTATGTGTTCAAGTCATAAGGCTAAAGCGTAAAGTACTGCACTTGCTATTACTACTATTTTTCGTAAATAGTTAGAACAGTGCTTAAAGCTGAGTTGACCGCTTCTCGGATTCACAGTAGAGAATTATCTTTGGACCATTTTTGCAGCAATTCAAATAATTGTTAACAATAAATTAACAATTTTGCAATATGCTAATTTTAGCTGTGTCGTATTCATTTTAAAAAGGTTTAGATTGTATTCCGATATACATCTGTTTACAGCTGCACCGCTCACAGTAGATAACTGTGATCCAGTAAAATAGCAATTTTTTTTTTTAGCAAATGTCGTTTATGTTTGACCAAAAAAAGCATTTTTTGGTCAAACATAAACGACATTTGGAAATTCAGCCATTTTGCAACAGTTCATTTTAGTATATATATCAAAGAATCGTGCTATTAAGCGTCACAATACCACATTTTGCAAAGATTGTTTTTATAAAAAAAAAGTAATTTCATGTGATGTGTACATCTTCAGATAAGTTTGTTGCCGGCAACACCAACGTTATACATAATAACAGGGGCTAATTTTACGAGTTGGTAAAAATATCTTCACACATTTTTCTATTTCATATAAAATTCTTGCAATACATTTGTATTCGCGCAGTTTGTCAGTTGCATGTTAACTAATAAAGGGTGCATTTCATCTCGGCCGAGTTGTATATTTATTTTCTAAGCATGCTAATTATGTGACATATGTTCATATCAGCTGTTATGGCCTGCTATGCATTATGGCCAGGTGAACAAACGAGTTGACTCACCATAATTTGTCTTCAATAAAGCGTTACCTTTCCAGTGCGAATTTATAAGAAGAAGACGCATGTTCAGAATTAGAAGCTAGTTAAGCCAAGGAACTACATCTCCCTTTTTAAACGCAATCTCTTTCAATCGACCTTTATACCGTTCTCATAAAAGCTCTTTTTCACATTAAGATAACCTGCAATATAGATTACAAATGCTTGGAAAAAAAACTGGACACTTTTTTAGATCTGTTTCAAGCCATATAAGTGGGTTTTCATAGTTACAGTAAAACCCATGTAAAGTACGCATTCATTTATGCAGTTCTGCGTCTACTTCGAAATAGGACGTCACTGACATGGTGGCGCCCTCTACAAATAATGCGCATTCGCCTTGTTGTTCTATGGGTGCGCCATTAGAGCAGCGACAGTTTCGTGAACTGAGATAGTAAGATCTAACAGAAAATGGCCTTTTTTAAACTTCAGAGAGGCTTACAGGCCATACAAATTTCCTTGAGGACGTCCAGTAACAGGTAAATGTTCGGTTAAAAGACCAACCAAGTAGTTGAGCCTATTTTTAAGAAATACATTCGGTCTTCCGCAAGTCAACTTTGCGCACTTTTTATTGTGATACTATTGGTAGAGCAAAGAATCGATAACATTCTGACTTAGTTATTATCATAAATGAAAATATATAAAAAAATAAAAAAAAAATACCAACAAAAGATGTGTTGTGTGAATAAATCAGCGGCTGTTTCTGTGCTTGTGAACATACTTGACAATGGTCAGAGCCAGGCTTCGCAAACATAATGAAGCTGAGGCAATGTTAAAAACATTTTTCCGTTTTTCATGAGTGCATAACGTGCCTTAAAGCAAACGGTAACCTAGGGAATGCTCAGTTTCTTCCCTGCACATTATTCTTAGGGTTCTACCCAAAAGAAGCGTTTTAGTGAAATTTACATATTAATAATGACAATTCAATATTATCTGTCGATTTTGTATTATTACCTTAATCAAGGAGCTTAGGATGCTCGCACACACAACTGAATACACTGCTGTATTTTGTACCGGATTGCATACTCACAAATTCTGGATTTAGCTTTACATATCAAATTTCGTAGTATACTACGAATGCTATATATTCGAGTTTACTTAAAACCCATATTGTTAAGGATTAAGGATATAATATTAAATGCATTAAAATTTCAATTATATCGATTTTGAACGTTTAGTCAACCAGCTTATGCCTCGACAGTCAAGAACACGGTCACTTCCTCGAAACATTTATTTATTAACTATTTTCTATTGAAGGACAACTAAATGTCTTTATTTTTAGCAGTGGCATCTAGCGCTAAACAGTATTTGTCCGGTTTTGACTACACCTTTCCATGTGTCTCAAAATGTTAGTCATCCACATTAACGCTCTAGTATAACAGGAATTTTAATAATGCTCAATAGAAGAGATACTGAAAATCTTTTTTAACTCTGGCACGTTGACGTACAAAGCATTACGAATTTACTGGCTGCTCGTCTGCTAGCCACTAGCCGCCAACAAAGATCTTTGACGAGCGCCCTCAAAGCACCAAAAAGGCCACAAAATGCCTTTATGCTCTTCGCAGCGGAATTGAGGTCAAAAGTTATAGCGGAGAATCCTGGAATAAAAGTCGTTGACATAATGAAACATATTGGCTCGGAGTGGAATAGTCTCCCTGAGCAGCATCGCGAGGTAAGCTTCTTTACAACTGTTCGTATTCAGTTAAAGCTTCGTCTTATATCGCATCGTTATTAATCATTTTCATAACAAATTATATAT